CCCCCCCCCCAATATGGTGGCTGGAGCTGGGGCCAGGGCTGCCGTGGGCCAGTCGATGTGCTGCAGCCAGTCACCCGTGGGACACAGGGCCTGGGACTGAAACCCTTCACAGGCCTTGTTTTAAAAAGCTCAGAACTGCACAGCCCGGGTGGGTGGGTGTGCGGGGGGGTAGTCCTGGGGTGCCTGAACTGGGAGTTCAGATAGGCCCATGCTCCCAGGCTGCCATGGCCTGCAGGTCTGCTCAGCCTTTGCTCTCCCCTCCCCACTTGTTCTGGTGACACCCAGCTGCAGGACAGCTGGAGCAACCCTCCAGCCCCAAGGGCAACCTGGGTGCCAGCAGGGCGCCCTGGTGTGGGCTGTCCCCCAGAGGCGCTCAGGGCCACCCCGGGCTGTGGCTGCAGGGGTGGGGTGGGGACTTTGGGTTTCAGCAGGGTGATCATCCATCAGACCCCGGGCCGCGGCAGGGCTGGGCAAGGTTTGGGTCATGATGGAGCTGCCCCCCCCAGGTGAGGTGCCCAGGTGGGGCTGTCCCCAAGGGGGCCCTGAGGCTGCTCGCTCAGCCAGGACACTGGGAGTTGGGTGTTGCCAGAAGCACTGGCAACCTGGCAAGAAATTTCACACGTACATGGAGACTTTGTTTCATATTTTATTGAATTTCATTTATATTAAATTAAAAATATATTTCTGACAGATTCATGTAACAAAAAGGCAGAACAGTTTTCAAATTGTTCAGCTGGGATGAGCGTGGGTTGATGCAAGGTGGGTCGCAGTCTACATTTGCCTCAACAAACAGATAAAGCTCTACCCCAAGGACCATGAGGAGAAACTCAGGACTGCACACGGGGGGAAAATATAACCACACAAAGAGAAGATCCACAGGTTTCTCCCCAGCCTCCAAACAAGACAAAAGGGGAGGGAAGGAAAAAAGAAAAAAGAAACCATGAAAAGAAGGGAAATTATGCTAAAATATGTACCTAATATTAACCCAGGTCAGTAAGTATTTTAACAGTGCATAATCCTCGATAGCTAAAGTATGAGAAACAAAAGGTTAAAGTAACATTACGCCACACACAATTGGCATACCCTACTGTGTAAGCAAGTGCAGAAAGTCTGAACACACCACAATAGTGCTAAAACACAGAATCACACAGAATGCCAAAAATGGGTACTTCTAACCAAAACCAGAGGGTGGGAAGGGAAGAGAAAGAAAAGGGGAGGAGCGGCTTAAATCACAAGCAAATTACCTATATACAAATCAACCCTAAGGACAATTATGTTCCAAGTAATGGTGTCCACAAGGAAAATAAAAGCAACATTATCCTTATTTACAAATGCAACTAGCTGTGTCTTTAACAAGCTATAAAAATACTATTCACATTTTCAAAGTAACATACAGTAGTTTTTGTATTTTTTTATTTTTGTTTCAGAAAGGCAGCTAACTCTGAATGCATCACTTTGCAAGAAATGAGTGTTTTCCCCAACATGCTGATGGCTTCTCTTCTTCCGAAGGTACTTCATAAGGCAGAAGTGTTGTTGTTTTGTCTCTCTGCTCTTTGAGAACATGGAGAATTGGCTAAAACCCAGACCCTCCCCACCTCTGCCTCTCGCCCGCCTCCCGGCAGGCAGCCAGGCCGGCTGCAGCGAGCCTGTCCAGGGGAAGCAGCTACCCCCGCGCCACCAGCGGGGCGTCTCACAGGAGCTTGGGGCTGTCCCTGCGTTGCCTCCCAGGTGGGGCTCGGCCTTTCATTTTGGGGGGATAGTAATGTCATCCTCCAGGGTTGGGAATCTGAGCCTCATCAGAAAAGTTGAGAGGTCAAGACCACCAGGTCGGGAAATGCATTTTGAGTATCTCTGTTTTTAGAAAGAGACTTCTTTTTCGCCTTGGTTTTCCCTCCCTACACTAGGGCTGCTACCTCTTTAGAAATTCCAGCTTACCATGTTGGGGAAATTGCAAAAACTGGTAAAAAAAAAAAAAAGGATTAAAACTGTTGTGAATAATGTATTGATTATGTACTAATTTCCAACATTAAAATGCTATAAAAGTTATGTTTTCATTGACCTGCATTTTCCTCTTAACATACCCCACCATAAAAAGACAAGTACCCAGCAACACCCTTCAGTCCCTGTCTCCAAAGGAACAGTGGTTTAGTGCATTCAAAGTTAGCTACCCCTACACAGCTGCTCAGTTAATAATCGACCCATTTAACAGCAGTACCAGTTTATGCTACATATGTCATAGTACCTTACCTCAAAAGAACGGCATACATATCTACACTTACTTATAAAATACCATTCACAGTTTATTACTGTGGTTATCCCAAAAGGGTTTAGTCTTCGGAGCGCTATGGACAATACAGTGTTTCCTCCCTAGGAGGGCTCAGAGGCCGGGCAGGGCACGGTGCCACCAGTGCTGCAGGACCACGGCGCTCACGGCCAGCACACAGCAGCGACTCGATGGACACAAGCGCCCTGGTCACGCCTGAGCTGACAGCAAGGGGATGCTGCGCTGGACGGGCCTCGGCCCTGGGGGGGCTCATCCACAACACGCCTGGAGCACGACTTCATGGCTTTTGGATTGGGGAGGGGAGAGGAACTGGGACAGAATTACTCACAGCATAACACCTTACACATCTCCCCTTAAAGCCCCTCTCTACCAAGGTCCACAAAGCTACCTCTCAAAATTAAATAATAATAAAGGAAAAAAAAAAAAAAAAAAAGCAGCGCTGACTAATTTCTTCATTGGGGTAACATCCTTGGGTTTCCCCCTTGCACATTTTCCCGGCCTGCCGGTGCAGGCCCCAGCACCCCTCCCCTCGGCTGTGGCTCAGGCAAGTCCCACTGAGCTACACGGCCACCAGTCAGCCCTGAACACCCACAACCTTCCCCCAAAAGGCGCCCTGTGGCGTCCAAACCCGGAGGCAGAGCCCAGCCACCACCGCCACCACCGCCACCAGCCTTCCCTCTCTGCAATTTCCCCAAGAGCAAGGAGCCTACAGCAGAACAAAGTACTAATACACACAGCGGTACAGGAATATAAACTTGTGCTAAAATAAAATTAAAGGTGGCGATGTGATTTTTTGACATTTTGGAGTGTTGCTTCTAACCACAGAGCTTTATTTCTGTTATTTATTTCCAATTTGAAAGCCCCATTTGTAACAGTGACCTTTTCTACCTTGTGTAATGCTCAGCAAGAGCCAGAAAATAAAAAAGAGAGGGAACCTTGCAAACACAGCAACACTGCACAGAGGCTGCCCTGTGGGACGACTGCGGCTCCTTGCATGTGATGGAGCATGAATATTGCAGCCAACCAACCCCACCCCACACAGTCGTGGCTTTCTAAGAAAAGATTTAAAACCCAAACCCAAGGTTTTACATAACAGACAAGCTGTTTGGTCAGTAGCAGTGGTCTAAGATCCACGGGGATGAGAATATTGCAAATGAGGATGAGAATATTCCAAGTGACAGAGCTGAACATGAATGGGTGCACAGTATTCACGTAACTGCAAGTAACGCCACCTTTTGAAAAATATTGGCTGAAGGGCACTCGAGGTGCTACTGTCCCCTTCAAGGTGCTCTTTAAAGAGCCAAGGAGGTGACTGACAACCAGAGGCCCGGCTCTGGTTTGTGCTAAAGCCTCTGTTCACCAGCCTCCCTCAAGCTAAACAGCCTCTGAAGCAGCTCCACACCTACCTGAGCTCTGTAGTTCTGAAATTTTACTGGGAAATGGGGGTGGGAGCCCCGAAACACCACTTGTGCAAGGTGAGGGGCAAGTCCATGCTGACAAGTGAGCGATGCCCCAGCCTCCAGCCCTTGGGGCACCTGTGTTACTCCCATCCCTGACCCAGGAGGGTTGGCAGACAATGTGCTGTTACCCTGTCCATAAAGAGACACCTGCCCAGGGTGCGCGGGGCTCCTGTGGGAAGCACGGCCGGCTGGGATGCCCTCAGTTATCCTGGGGAAGTACATGACCGACAACCTAATTATGACTTGTGCCAAAGTCTCCCCATCTCCTGGGTGGTACAAAGGAGCCCAAATCATCCCGTCATTCCTTTACTGCCACCACAATGCAGGACACATACGCAGACACCCCATCAGAAAAAAAAAAAAAAAAAAAAAAAAAAAAAAAAAAAAAAAAAAAGGCTTTCTTCTTTAATATCTGAGTTTCCCATAGAGGTCCATCCTCAAATTTCTAGGCTGACTTACCTGACAGCTGGTGCTTTTCACCTGTAGTGCCCAGCTCGCTCTGTAGCTTTGGGAAGAAAGGATCCACAGAGAGTCGGGGCCAAGCTGGTCTTTCAGGGTTGCCTTTTTCTTTGCTTCTAGGCTGGGACTGCTGGTGGCTGAGGGTGCGGGCAACGCTCCCCTGTAACCCCCTCCCACGTCTCTAGTGCAAACCAGTATTGGGCCAGTGGCGAGTGCACAGGCGGCCCTGCCCTGGCACTGCAGGTGCCCCTTGCCCGTAACCTTTGGGCTTACCAGCTGGGGGACAGGAAGGGAAAGGTTTTTCCCTATTAATCCAGGAAATAATTGGAATGAGATCACCGCATACAACCCCTGCAGTCAAGAAATGCATCTTCTACCAAATAAGTGGTGCAACCAGGGTTAACACCACCTGTCTTTGTATAAAGGATTTCAGGGCTGAGCTTAAGGTACCTAAAACAGACCCACAGGGTGACTCCTATTGCTGATACTTGCTCGGATTTACTTCCATCGCTCGCTACCTGTGAGAGATGACCTGTTTGAAAGCAAGCTGTAAATACTCTGTTAAGAAACCCTACTGGCTATTTTGCAGAAAAAGAAAAATTTGAAAAGAGCTGTAGAAGAAAACTTAAAAGTAGTTGGTTTCAGTCAATTATGTTACAGCAAGTCAATCAGATCCAGCATCCACATCTGTTCGAAATAACCCTCAGGTAGAGAACAACATCTAAGACAAGTATCAATGAAAGAGATTAGGAAAAAATAAGCTGTTGTTCTCTTTCATTTAGCATGTGGCTTTGTGCCTTGGACAATGGCTGATACACACTGGGGTGTCTGCTCTTGAAAAGTCACCACTCTTTCGTCGGATAGGCTACAATAAGGGAAAGGAAAAAATTTACAAATAGGAAGCCTCATTATAAAATCCATAAAACCTGACAGCACTGTGTACAGATACCATTTATAGAATTAGCAAATTAATTACACCCCGACAAAATACTTCTGGCTGATGCTCTCACCTACTGCTTTGTGCTGACAAAATGCAGTCTGTGTGTGGAAATATCTGTTTTTTCCCCCAAACTTGTAAATATTCATTAAGAAGCCTGACCCCCATCTTCACAAGATAATACAGTTGAACATTCGCTGTCATTTTGCTGTGTACATATGCCCAATTTCTTTCACAAAGCCAGCAGCTATAGCCACTATGGCAAACACGTGGATTAGGGCCAGCCAGGTATTTCTGTTGATCAGATTAAAGCAGCCAAACAGGTCTGCTCTCAGTTTTGCTTTTTTTCTTTAACCATGGTTAAACTTTCTTTGGCAAAGAGACAAGAATCTGCCAAAGTAGCTCGGAGGCACTACTCTTGCAGAGGAAACACGACTGCTGCTCTTACCGGGGAAAAGGAGGCGGTTAGCCAGACACATGGCACCACGCGGGTCAGCTCCTGGCACAGCAGGAAACACAAGGGACGTTTTTGGCAATGGTTACTCAAACTGGAAGCTTGGGGGGAAAAAAAAAATGCCCATTTGTGAAGCTGCAGTCTGTCGAGTTTCCCATTTACGGTGTTCATTAACCCTTTGTTTGCCCTCTGCTACTCAAGACACAGCCAGCACGGCTCAGCACAGCACGGCCTGGCTGTGTCTCGGAGCCCTAGCATAAGCAAGCTTCCATCTGGCCTTCATGCTGCCTCACTTCAAAGAACCTCTGCATTTCCATGCTGCTTAATATAGTATATCACACCCACAGTCAACAATTAAAATGAATAAATAATTCAAGTTTTGTAAGAAATAAAATGTTAAACTGTTAAAAAACACAATTATTTACATTTTGATTATTCAACGGGCTTGTTTCCAACACCGGTACTACTTCATTACCCGAGAAACAAACAGGCCTCACCTTCTGTTAGCAGTTACATCCCAGCACCACCCCACCTGGGTTTGGAGGTGTGCATGCTTCTGCCCCAGCAGCCTTTGAGTGCACCTCTTTGAATTCAAACACGTAAGTTGTACCAGGATTTTATTTTATTTTTTCTCCATCAGGAGTTACTCTGTTACAAGACTTGTTCAGGGACAAATCAACCCCTTTCTCCACCTACCTACATAACCCAAGCTGCTGCTGTGCTGAAACAGCACATCCACAATCCCGTGCTGGTCTTTGTCTCCAGGCAGCTGGGCAATTGTGCCCCAACCTGGCAGACCTTTGGCCGTGCTTCAGACCCTGTGAGCAGTACTGCTGGCAAACCTTCCCTGGAGCAGCATCTCCAGGACCTCGTGCCACCCCTCTGCGCCCCCAGCCTCTGCCCAGTGCCTGCCTCTGTCTCCTGCCAAGACCATGAGGTGTTACGGGATGGCACCAGGAAGAGGCCAGGCCTCTCAGGCACATGGTGTTTTTGTAGCCATCTGCCCCCCGGCCATTTTGTTCTGCCACCACAAACCACCTTGGTACCCCTTGACCCAACATCTCCTTTTAACAGCTTCAAAGATCCGTACTTGTTGTTTCCAGACTCTTCAACTACATACTCAGCTTACAGGTTTAACACCCATCCCGCAGCTGGTTCAAGCTGGCCTGAACACACCTGATGCAGAAGCGGGCTGTGGGCTAAAACAACCTTGACCTAGTGATCATACACAAGTTGTTTCCCATCTGCAAGCATAATGACCAACCCAGGTTTGAAAGCTCTTCATACCTTTGACAAGCTGACCCTCAGCCACCAAGATCTGGATAACTCTTGCTTGCTTCTTTCTCCTTCCTCTGCTTCCCTACTATTACAGGTGGCAAGCTGTTTGATGGCAGGATTCTGGGGGAGCTTGATTGCCATTTCCAGACCACTGTTTGTTGATGGTTTCATTGCCAAGTTAGGTCACCCCAAAGATCTCGACTTTAACAGTACTGAAGCACATAAACTGAAATACTGTTGTATCACCTAAGACTGCCATCCATTAGGTGTTGTTTCTTCCCCTTTAATGCCTTAATGGATAGAGATATAGGCAGATCTTCAAAGGTACTTAGCAGTTCCTTAAGATTTTCAGTGGGAACTATGTACACAGATGCTCTTACACACATGGGTCTTGGCATGTCAGGAGCAAGCCACCACTGTCTCTCGCCCTTGCCCAGCTTCATCTGCCTCAGGTTGCTAAAAACGTCCAGAACTCTGGCTGAAAGATATTTCCAAAGGGGAGCAGGCGGGGGGTGGGGTGGGGGTGTCTACCTAAAAATTGAGGTTCATGAAAGCAGAACTAAGTGCAAGGAGACTGACTCATACTTATTTACATTTTTGACAGAAAACTCTGCGAGTCATGCACATTTTGATTTCTCAAACCTCATATGCACCGTCTTCTGTGCCAGAGTAATCCTCCTTTTAGAAAAAAGTATTCTGTACTGTGCTGCAAGCCAGAGCAAGACATTTGTCTCCTCCGATCCCTGTCAGGACTTGCTCTGCTGTCCTTCACGTGGCAGCAGTAAGAGCTGGTTGCTCTGTCACTGTATTCTCTGAAGCAGTCAATGCAATGGCCTCTCAGAACTGGTAGACGTTGTTCCAAAGACTTGATTTGCTTCATTTTGGCATTTCCACAGTCATCCTTTACATATAATTAATTTTTTTAAAATTTAAAATTATTATTTTGTATTTTGCTGGTCACTTCCATATTGCTTCATTCAAAATCCAGAAAACAGTTCAAATAAAATCGGAGCTTAAGTGCAAACTAACTTTCCAGTGAACCGCTATGTGCGTTTTCTCCAGTCCAGTGTCTGTTTTCCAGTTTAAAGGCCCCTTCCCACCACCACCCCACAGAACACCAGCAGACTTCACAACCCACATCAAACTCTCCAGTTCTCCATCTTGTCCTCAGTGTTGCCTGACAGCATCCCCAACTCCCTTCATGATCACAAAAAAGAAAAAGAGGGAAGAATTTGTTTAAGTCTTTTTATGTATTTATGGTCAGCGGTATAAAACAGGAAAGCAAAGCCTTTTGCATACAAATCTTGGTTTCTTGGCCTGTCTTTTAGCTTCAAAAAGAACGTGTTGGAGGCGTGGTTTTGTTACTCTCTTCTGAAAAGGTTTTTGTGTTTAGTGTTTCTCATGTTGGCACACATACAAAAATGGTCGCATCACGTACCAGATCTGAGCGGGAGTCTCTGTGGTTAGGAACTGGCACAAAATCATGGTGTGGCTCAGACAAAGGGTTTAGCCGTATATTAGAGTCACATCATCATTTCTTGGAAAGCCACAATGAAGATCTGAACTATTATGAAAAGCCAGGTTAGACATTTTCAGTTGTTGGGATAGAAAGTGTTAGAGAAAGAAATTGGATTCTCAATCTCAATTACTATGCTATCACACATGATATAAAAATTGTCCATTTTCCCCCCAGTGGAAACTGCATTGAGACTTCCAGGAATGCTGTACAGACTCTTAACAGTTCCTGCTGAAAAAAACAGCCTCTCTCTGGCTTTCCCTGCAGTGTCTGGGTTGAATCACTGAGAACTAGCTCAACAGCAGGCAACACTGCCACTGGCCTTTACTGGTACTGTCTGGCTTCTCTGACCATCCGACCCTCCAGATCTGCGGAAAGTGAGAAAGGCCAGGTTGTACACACCTTCTTTCAGTCTCTTTCTTTCTTTCCTTCCTTCCTGGTTCCCAACCCAATCTGCATATGACTCCAAGACATCCATTCACTTGGAAGTATCAAAAATGAGTGAACTGGCAAGAAGAGGAAGCTCATGGGAGAAAGGGAGGGACGGAGGAGAGAGAAAAGGAGAGTGAGAAAGAGTGAGGCATCTAGAAGGGGTTGCCTTTCCACTTCTGTAAGACCGCGGTCACTACACCACTGTATTTCGGTGTCTGTAGGGCGGCGGGGGCAGCACAGTGCCAGGCTTCAGGGAGAACTCGGAGAGGTATTCAGGATTCTCTGCCACAATGGGCCGGATTCGTCCGTTCTGTTTGTAAAAGTATTTTGTGCTGTATTCTTGCAGGTAGTCCGGGTGCTGGAGGGTGCTTCGTGGGGGCAGGCTGTGGTTCCAGTAGTCCGGGTTGTCAAAGGCTTTCTTGGCTTTCTCCGGCAAATTGTTCTTCAGGTACTCGGCATTTTCCAAGGTGTTTGCAAAAGTGTTGAGGTACAATGGCTCGTTCACGTACTCATCCTCTGCTTTGGGCTGCCCGTTTGGAGCATTGTGATACTCTGGGTTGTCCACAGCTTGGAGATCTCCATTCTTTCGTCGGGAAACAAATGGGTTCTCTTCCACCGGGTTTAGGTAATCTAAGGGAAGATAAAAAATGAATCGGCGAAGAGAGGGAGTAATCCATCCATGTAGCAAGCATCACATGTACGTTACTACCAGGCTTTACCAGAAGCAGTACTCGGACTTGTGTGTCCTCCATCCCAGCCATTCCCAGAGCTCCAGAGGAGATCCAGTGCTGACCATGTTGAACCCACACTTGCTAAAAGTGAAGAATTTACAACCTAAACAGGCAGTATGTGTTACAATGAAGACATACTGGTAAGCTAAACTACAGCTCTCACTGAGCCACAGCCACCCATGTGCCTTGCTTGATCCTGGACTTCTTCTCAGTGTATGATCTACAGAGCCAAACACGCCATGCCACTTCTGCCTCTGCTGCTGACTCTCTCTGCAACCTTGGACATATCATCCAAACCCTCTGCTCTGCAGTCTTTCCATCCAGAAAGCTCTACAGAAATCTTAAGTTAAGCCTCTCTGCACAAAAAACATCCCCAAGGGCTAACTTCTAAGACAGCTTCATTTCTAACAGAACAATTTGCCTGATTAAAAACCTTCCATCCCTGAAGGACAAAGGGCCTCAAAGCATGATGAAAAAAATTTTTCAAATGAGCACTGGAAAGGGTACAAGAGAGCCTTACATCAGCTCTAAAACAGGACTTGGAATCGGCTACAGTTGCTTCCAATCATTTTCTGTGGATTAACACCACAAAAAAATGTAGTTGAATTGCAGAAAGATTTTAAGGCATATGGAGCTTGCATGGAAAGCTAGACAGGAGGTGCAGAGGGAAGAGAAACATAGAGACTTGCTGTCCTAGGTTAAAAACACATGCTTTGTAAGGTCTCTCCCATGGTCACACACAGGTGACTGAGCCAGGGAGCAATGGATTCACTGAGTGTTGAGTCCTGCCTTGCTCTGTGTATAACGAGGTCTCGCTGCAAAACAAAGCCAATCAGCCTGGGCAGGAGGGATGTTGCTGACACTGCGAGTGGGCTGCAAAGGGAATGGCTTGGAGGGGAGCCAGGGAGAGAGTGGCAGGGGCTGGGACCCCTGCAGCAAGACACATCAAAATCATCCAGTTCATTCAAGGCAGAAAATCATCAGATCAAACCCACTTCCAGTATTAATTCTGCCTTTCATCTCACAGACCAGAAGTTCCTTACAAAACAGGGTCTCCAAGCCAGCACCGTAAGCGAGGGATGATCTCTCAGCTGCATGGGGATGCCAACACAAGACCTCTGTTTCCAGTAGCATGGCTCTGGAGAAACCACAGAGAGTCCTGCCTGCAAGGAAATGGGCCCTTGACTGTTTTAAGAGGATGGCTGTGGTCCTCAGCTCTGGTTTTATCCAGGATGGGCCCAAAACTATGAAATGCAAAAGTTCAAGACTCAGGAGGTACCTTTGAACACATACCTAAAACTTTACTGAAGTGAGGTGAACAGGCACAAGCGCCCGTACCAAAAGCATAGTGGGAACATATTTTTTTTAACAATGACAGCCAAGCAGTGCTTTGATTTGAATCCCTCAGCTGACAGAGAGCGCACAGCACTGTGGCCACACTGTGCTATCCTTGTGTCTGTGCCCAGTGAGAAGGAAGGAGGTGCTGTCTCCTGAGCTGCTGCTACTGCATCCCCGAGGGCTCAGGTAGCCCCTGGGAAGTGCTCAGTTCCTGCAGTGCTCTGAGGATCCCCAGTGTGGGCTCACACTGAAGCAAACTCACAGCATCAAATCTCTTGTTGCTGCCATGTAGGGCCATGAGTGCACTCCCACAACTGCTACTGCCACGGGTCAAGCCCCAGGGCTCCCTCCCTTTCCACCATGTAACACAAAGAGTAAGTGGCTTCCAAATTCTTAGCAAACACAGTAGTTACTTGTCATTTACATTTGCATTAATTACATCCCCTTACATCTAAATGATTGCTGTCACTATTTAAAAAGGAAGAAATGAATGACAGCAAACTGGGAAGTGTAGCACTCTGAGCTGGCACAGATCTAAGCAAACTTCACCTGGCAGCAATGGTCTCTCTGAAGCACATCTTGTTCTTTCAATCCTAAACTTCTCTTGGGTATAAAATGCCAACTGTGTGTATCGGTTCTGTGGTATGTTCAACATGACATTTACTAAGCACGATACCATGAAGATAAAGAAGATCAATAAACAAAGCAAAGTGGAGACTACGGCTGGCCAAAGATAGATTCTTTTCTTGGAAATAACTGAAGATTTGTGTTTGGATAAGAAGGGGGTTTGGCTTTTTTTCATTCCCCTCTCTTGTTTTTACCCACAAAGAAAAGTAAAAAGGGGAATGACCAAACTTGGCATATTGTCGCATTTGAGCTTTTCTAAGTAGAAAATTAAGCAAAGAAAAATGAATCCCCAGGCAAACAAATATTAACCTTGTCAGAATGTTTCAACCTTGTTGGGCTACTCAATAAAGCCATTTTTGGTGAAAAGCTGTTGATGTAGAAAAAGAATGTCCGGCAAGACAATTTGTTACCTGTTTTAGGTTTGTCTCGCATCGGCGTCATGTACCCATCCTCATCCAGCTCTCCCCGGACAACCCGCTCGGGTATGAAGACTGTGGGATCAGCGCTGTACCTCTGGGTGCTGCTGTCCTCTTTTGCCAGGGTTGCCACTTGTTTTCGTAGTGTGCCGTTACAGCAAGTATCTTCAAAGATCTCTGCTGTGGCCCCCTGAGCAACCGGGGCTTCTGGTATTATGCAGCCAGGAGCTCTGTATGGCATCGGCACTTCTGTAGCATAGCCACCATCTCTGTACACAAACTGGTTCTGTTGAGAAAGAAAAGGCAACATGACAAAGGAGGCTCCAAAGGGAAGGAAGATTCAACAGCAAGTTATCTCTGTGGCTCCCGTGCCTTTCCTGCCACATTTGCTCAATGATACATTTCAGAAGGCAGGTGAAGCCTTGCCCATCCTGCAGACTGCTGCGTTTCCAGCACTGCGGGATCAGCAGCAGCACAGGCTCTGTTATGGACTGGCAAAGCATCCGTCTGCCCAGTGGTACTGAACTGGCTTCCCCGAGGCACCACTGGTGCAGCAAGGGGAGCAGGGAAACAAGCTGGCTACTCAGGGCTGGAAACAGGGCTGGAGATGGGTCGGGAAAACTTGTCTCCTACCTAAACATGTGGAGGTTGGATATATTCAGCTGTAAGATGCAAACACGGTATCTCCTCTTCTATTACTTTGTCAGTCTCCCCTGATCTCTGAACAAACCCCTTAAAGCTCATGTTAGGGAAATCTCCTTCTTCAAAGGGGACTGGGGATAGAGGACATACCATCTCTGAACCCTGTTTATTCCTGGGGGACCTACTTTTAGGGTGTCCTGCAGTGACAACCACAGGGTCACCCAAACACTATGTAATTCCATCAGGTACTACACCTCAGGCTGGTGAACTGTGTTCGTATTAATGCCTCAACTCAATGGCTCAACTCAACCTACCATTTTGCTTGACAGCAAGGGCGTGCAAGGAAATTTCGACATCATAACCTATAAATAGGAAGGAAAAATGTACAGATTCATCCAAGCCTGTTACCTAAATGCTTTTTTAAGAAAAGTTGGCAGTTGGCAGAAATTTTGGGTGTGGGTCCATAAGGCTTGCACATGAATCCAGGCTGAGTGCAGAGATCTTGACTATTTCATTGCTTATATAAACAATTCACTGTTGGCTTTTGGGACATTTATGTAGGAAAAAAGGGGTTTGAAACAGAAAATATGTAGTGAAGGAAGGAGGAAAACCTAAAAGATGAAGTTTGAATGTGAAATACTTACTCCTGACATAGGGGTGTAGGCAGGAGGAGGGCTGTGTCCAATTTCACTCTAATAGGAAAGAAAAATGGAATGATGGATACATAATAAGAGGTCACATGAATGAAACAAGTCACATGAGCTGTATGAGCTAATGGGGAGTAACATGCACATCAGTTAGGTTTCCTAACTGAATCCAAAATTCAAAGAATGTCTCACCAAGCTGTGTGCCTCACCAGTCTTAGGGAGGGCTACTGGTTCCTCTTGCTGGGTAAGGGCAAGTGCCATGTTACACCCACTGCAAGCTGTGTAACCTGCAAATGTCTCGTGTCGAATTTCTGGGAAGTTGGATTGTACAGAAAGAATGACAGACAGTGCACTCAGCTTCAGAGGAAATACGGGGCAGGAGAAGTGCAGAAAGCATCTAGCTCCAAGCCAAGGCTTCCTTTCCCGGGGACAAAGCAGGAGAGAAATAACCAGGAGAGCAGGAGGGTGCAAGACTGTCATTAGACTGTCACAGCTAGCTTAAGTATCATGAGAAAAACAGCCTCTAAACTTTGGTAAACCCAAATAGCACAGCAGCCCCTGGATTTCAAGACTCCAACATGCCATGGTCCTGCTCTCAACATATACCATCCTTCTAATGTTACTTCTGCATCACAGGCTAAGTATTACCAAGAAGTCTAGAGTATCTATCTTCATTTTGATATTGGGAGTATCCATGCAGAGATCTTCATTTTGATACTGGTTTCTGGAACCATCTTACACTGACCTGTGCCCCTGAACTGCTGTAACATCACCAGCACAGTGGCTGCATTTATACCTATTACTGCTACTCAAAACTGGCCTGCTTTTCACAGAGAAAATGCTGAAATTTGGAGGAAAATAAAACAAAGAACCCTGTTGTAAAAATATGTTTTTCTACTGCCAAAATGGTATTTTTGAGACTACAAGATCAGTTTTTCATCATTACTTTGTTTCCCATTTTGTTTCAAAAACTTTATTGTTTTTCCCTCATCTCCAAGTTGGGAGAGTGAAAAAGTCAGGGTTTGAAAGAAGAAGGTCTAATCTTGAAATAAATTAGAAGGAAAAACCCACTGCCTCAGGAAAGAAGTCTAACCACCCTAAGAACACTCTACTTTAAAAAATATCTCATTCATCAAAATACTCACACCAAGAAACATACCAGAATTAAAAGAAAAGACAACATGCATCCTCACATAGTAAGGACTGGATGTTCTACAGGCAATCTTTGTAAACTTCTTGTCAAAACATCAGGATGGATGGTCACAGTCAAATATCTTACTTTATAAAGAAATGTTTTGTGTTTAAGCAGAATACTTGCATCAGGAAAAACCTTAAAAACAAATACAAGCTTTTTAAAAATGCATGCTGTCTGTCTGAAGGCCCTTTTCCAGTGATCAAAAATGTGCCTATTTCCTGCTATTTGAAATATCCCTGCAGCCATTTTATTACTCAGAACAACACCATGTGTTTGAGGTGTAAATGTGGTGATAAGCCAAAGAGATACACTTTTTCCATCCCCATGAAAATTCGTCTGTATTTAGCCAAGTTATGATCTAAAAATGACTCCAGGTTGCAAATTACAAAAGCACAGGAAAACCTTTGTTAGCTAAATTGTCTCTCTGCACCACCCATTAGCAAGGCTTGAGCAGGACTCTCTCCATCTTTGTCCCATGGTCTCAGTGACCCCCTTGTCAGTGCCTGTGCCCAGGGGAGGAGGAGAAAATGGCAGTCTGAGCAGACTGCAAAGCAGTTGAGAGGCTTGCAAGGAAAATGATTCTGGGGCAGCTGGCAGCAGGGATGGTCAGGAGCCAGGGAATGGTGGCTTGCAAAGGAACAGAGGACAATGGCAAGCAAGAGAGACTGTGAGGTGAAAGGAGGGAGAAAGGGCTGGCATGTCATAGGAGGCTGAGTAGGAAGGGAGAGACAGTAGTAAGACCAAAACGTGACAGGGAAAAACGGGAGGCAGAAAGACAAAAGATAGTCTGAAGGTACTGAAATACCAGCTTCTTGGGGGACTGGAACTGAACTTGAACCTCCTCTGCTGTCAGCAAATTGCTTTTGAAGCGAATGGCCAATTCAAGCCTGGTTCAGCTGGTGCAGAGGAAGCCCAGCAGCCATCCGTCTTCCCTTGGCACAAATGGCAGAGCTCAGCTTTGTGCAGCCAGCGGGAGCTCCAGGGGCTCTGTGCACAGGTAATAGGGCTGAGGGAGGATGGGTTGAGGCACCGCTGAAATCTAGGCTAACTGTGACTGATTTCATTGAGCTTTTGCCAAAGACCTCGTTACATTTGAAAAGCAGAGTTTGAACTTAAGCTCTAGGCCTGGGAGCAGCTTTGGCCTCTCTGACCCAGCTGTGGCTGCTGAGAGCCAGAGGATGATGCCAACTGCAGAAAAAGTGCTAAGGCAGAGAGATGACAAGAGAGCTTGGCTGGATCAGACTGGAAACTTCAGTGCTGCCTCATCTGCACATAGTCTCTTTCTCTTATTCAAGACCAGTGTACTCATATCCAGAAGAACAACAGCCAAGAAAAATTCACAAGAGGGAAGGGAGAACCAAAGTCAGCAGTTGCCTGGCTGAGATAATCACTTGAGAGCGAAGTTCCTAACAGAAGATGGAACAGAAGACATTTTACCAGTTATTTTGCTTAAAGGGAACAGACATGGGTACAAATCTGGATACAGACTGTGCAACAAGCTTCTAACTTGGCAGTCTTCTACAAAAGCTTGTTTGGGACAATTGGGAAGGTCCCTTTAAACAAGGAACACCATGGCAACCAGAGATGCTCTGATTGCACAGGACAAATCCCCTCTGAACCTCTGCACTTTTATTTGGTACCACAGATTTGTAGTCCACTTGTAATAACATATGGGCAAGGATACAACCCAGAATGTGTTAGACAAATAGATAAAAAGCATTCCCTGAGCCTGCTGGATGCTACTTTGAAGTCCTACTGATGGCTATAGGTTGTTGCACTGCAGGACACTTAGTCTGCCTTCTCCTTGTCCTCTGATCTCATGTTTACTTGAATTCAGGGAAGCTTTCTGTCAGCTCCAAGAAGATGGAGGATGAAACACTGAAGACAAGTAAGTAGTAAGCTATGGTCTAGGGTGGTGAGGATTTAGGCAAACTGACGATTACAGATAGAATCCAGAGAAGAAACACGAAGTGGCATCTAGAGACAGTCAACTCTCTTAACAGCAAGGAATCCAAAGCTCTGCTGGGACTCCTCTACCTCCTTGTAGAGTTCCCCAGTTTCCTTCCTTCCCTCCCTCCCACGGACTGCAAGACTCCAAAGAGGGGGTTTGCTTCTTTCGGTTTCCAGGGTGGCTACAGCCCTCCAGACTGCACGAGAGTGAACAGAACTGTAGCAAGACTGCCTTCATATTATACACAGGGGACTGGAGTTCACTGATGTCTGCTTTCCACAGGCACTAAACCTGTGACCATAACCACTCCTTTTCTATTCAGTACTACACTGAGCTATATTACACACCTTTAATTTACATCTTTCTGTTTTCACAGAGGCACTCCCATAAATTTCAACTTGTGGTTCATTGAATCTGGATGAGTAAAGGGAGAGTTGTCTTGCACTACTTCTAGTTCACAGCCCACAGTGATGGCTTAAAGGTAACTTAGAAAAGCAAGTCTTTTGTCAACAGGCTTGACTTCAGTACACAGGGCTGTGCTACTCTGTCAGTAAATATTTAGATGATTAGCCACTTTAAAAAATACTGTTCTATGATGGATACATTATCTATCTGTGGGCACATTTTGCTCTACCCTTATCACAAAAGGCTGAATCCACCATCCTATCTTTAGATCTTCTTGGCTGTGACTCTAACATTTAAATACATACTATGCAACTATAACAACATAATAACAGGCCCTCTTAGAATAGCCCTGTCCCAAGACGTCAGGAGAGAATGGATTAGCTTTAATGCATTTATTGCTATTTTTGCTGACAAAAGCCTTCCCAGTCAGTGACCTGCCAACTAAGATCACAGAAATGGTATTTTCTTCATGCCTCCCCTTTAGCTCTGTACTAAACATAGCTGTCTTGCAACACCCTTAACATAGAATCTTACAGCTTGTCTCTTCTCCAAACCACTGGTGTCTGCCCACTTTTAAAATTCTTCACTGTTTTTCCCCATGATTTAATACCCTGTGGCCACTGTTCCAAAAAAAGGAGGCAAAGAAAACAGCTGTGGTGCCCATTAGTGGGTCTAAAAATGTGATATAATTGTTTAAATTTCTTTAAATTGCCTGCTAATTGCTCTGTGATGTCATCATTTTGTAGACTTCCAAGATAACTACTGAAAGTCCCAGCCAACTCTTATTGGTCAGGACATGAATCACACTGTGAGCAGAAAATACATTTGGACTTTTCCAAGTAAAACTTAAATAGCTTGATTTGTATGTGTAATCCAATTTACTTTGTTGATTATTTCTTTGTTGTTGTTGCTTTTGCATCTTAAATACTATCTTGAAAGAGCAAGCTGTTCTAGGGTTTTGGAGTTCTGATCCTGAAATTCTGACCTGCATGATCAAATTCTCTAGCCTGCTGAGATGGACAGAGACTTCAGAGGCTGGTTGCTCAAAGACCTCACTACATAAACCAACTTAAAAAGTCTCAACTTGCATACTAAAACCAAAGATCACAGAATCATTCAGGTTGGAAAAGACCCTTGGGATCATCGAGTCCAACCACCAGCCCTACTCTACACAGTTCTCCCTTACACCAAATCCCTCAAAATCACATGATGAAGAAATAATCACCCTCTTAGGATAGTGTAATATGCATTACATCCATTAGCTCTGGAGCGCACGTGTCCATTGATGTTTAAACTCCTAAGCATTCTCCAGAAGGAGCCTAGCCTTTTAACTACCCATGAGCAGCCCTAACCAGAAATGCTCAAGATTTCATTATTTATACCACATGGTTGAATTTTAGGCACAAACTTGACATCAGGGAGAAAAGATAAAAGCAAGGAAATGTCCCCTAAAGCCTTTTTAGAGGCCCTTCGTATTAAATATGACATATCAGC